CTAAGGAGCTGGGCTCCCAGCCTAAAGTGTTCGGCTCCGAGCCTAAGGAGCTGGGCTCCCAGCCTAAGGAGTTGGCCCCAAGCCTATGTAGCTGGCTCCGAGTCTAAGGGGCTCGGCTCCGAGCTTAAGGAGCTGGGCTCCCAGTCTAAGTTGTGTTGAACATATCAACATAGTGGGAAGCTTATTAAGGATAAGGAAGATAAGAAGATAAAGATAAGAAAGATAAGGAAAATAAGAATAATAAGATAAAGATAAGAAGATAAGGATAAGGGTAAGGATAAGGATAAGGAAGATAAGAAGATAAAGATAAGAAGATAAAGATAAGGAAGATAAAGATAAGGAAGATAAAGATGAAGATAATAAGATAAAGATAAGAAGATGAGAAGATAAGGATAAGGAAGATAAGAAGATAAAGATAAGAAGATAAACATAAGGATAAGGAAGATAAGAAGATAAGGAAGATAAGGAAGATAAAGATAAGGATAATAAGATAAAGATAAGAAGATAAGAAGATAAGGAAAAGGAGGATAAGAAGATAAAGATAAGAAGATAAGAAGATAAAGAAGATAAGAAGATAAGGAAGATAAAGATTAGGATAATGAGATAAAGATAAGAAGATAAGAAGATAAGGATAAGGAAGATAAAGATAAGAAGATAAAGAAGATAAGGAAGATAAAGATAATGATAAGGAAGAACTATTTATATTTTTACGGCGACATGTGGGTGTGATGTAGGGTCGATGTAGGGTCGATGTAGGGTCGATGTGCGGTCGATGTGGGGTCTATGTAGGGTCGATGTGGGATTTTGTCTTGTGTAGAGTGACGGCACGTGTCAAAGGTGAGCAATATGAACCAACTTTGGGAAGCAATAGCGTAACGCACAGTCATTTGCCCAAAGTAATCTTTATATCATTCGAAAGAACATTATTTAGACTTGAGATTACCAACGTTTCAAGGCATTCAAAGCTTAAGCACATTCACAATATGAATTTTTGTAAAACATACTTTTATCGACTCGTTTTACGTGTCTTGCGAATAAGATTAATTTCAAAGGTCAGAATTGCTCTATTGACTCCAAAGTCGCACAATCTGTCGAGTGAGAATTGTACTAGTAGATTGAGGTAGTTTTATGTGCATAGAATCAGTATTTTCTTGGGTTGAAGCCGCTAAAGTGCAGTCAATCGTAGGGGCTGAAAATAGCATTTCCAACCGTCTTCGACAAAATGCGAATTTCTCCTCTAAAAAGCAATGTTTGATCAAATTAACTATACAGCAATTCTTGGGATACTTAGGCCTATCATTCCTGGAAATACGAGCTAAAACGATTTTTGAAGGTTGGCCAGACTTGTTTGATATTTACTGACAAGCCCTCTTAATCTGTTTTTAGCACACCATTAATATCTGAAATATAGGTAACTGGCCTTTTGAATCTCTTCGGATCGAAAGAAACGAAAATTCTGACGATGAGCGCGCTTTTATAGACTGGTGCCTAGTTTTCGTACTACGCGCGCAAAGCTTCCCGGGATAGCGTCATTTATTCCCACCGCCATATTTTTCAAGCCTTCATTCTGAATTTATGGTTCGAAAAATTCGCTTTTTTTAAGCGACGACGAATGATTTGAACGAAGAGGAAACAGCGGGGATGACTGAATAATGTTCAGGTAAGCATATTGTTATGTTATATGTATAATGGAGCAGATTTGAAAGTAAATATTCGCTATCTTCGCTCATGAATTTAGAGCATGTGTTCATGTTTAAAATTTGAATTTGCCGCGACAATATTTGAATTAATTAAAATGATGATATAAATACATTAGTTTTATAGCAAGGCTTACATTTGACTTTATATTAATTTAAATTATGTTTATTGTATGAAGGGCAACTAATATTTGTGTATATGAATATGTGACAGATTGCCAGATAACAATGTTTCTGGTATAAAGTATAAATATAGCTTGGCATCTACTCAATCATATGCTCACCTACACATGTCCCAGCTAAACATGGTTTGAGAAAATGTAACCACTTGTTTCAAATCAACTGCTGCTTTCATAAGTTTCTAATTTTTATATATCTAGGTTTTTTATGTCCAAATTCTTCAATCAATGAAAAATCTATTTCACTGTTAGAGGTGTTATGCACCAGTCAATGAAAACCTATACAACTCAGACTGTTGCTGATAAGTGGGGGTTAAGTGCCAGGAAAATTTTCCATACTACCATAAACCTCCAAATATAAGCCACCACCCCGTGTATAAGCCCACCACATGTACTAAGGCTCACCTCATTCCGAATATAAGCCCCCCCCGAATATAATCCCAGTAGCCCACTACGTTATTCAACATTGACATTGTCTTTTAATTAACCCATTAAGCTGCGGAGCTTCCCCATTGACAAGTAAAATCGTCTGGCGTGAGACAAGTAAAAAAATAAGTAAGGCACATTGGGGCGCATTGCGGCTTGATGGGTTTACCAGAGACATTGTCAAATTTTTTGGTCAACCCATTTAGCTGCAGAGTTTCCCCATTGACGAGTAAAATCGTTTGGCGTTAGACAAGTGAAAAAAAAGTAGAGTGCACTGGGGCGCGTTGTGGCTCAATGGGTTAATATAGCAGAGAACAATATTTAAAAACATTATCTTTATAGCTTAAGTCAACGTCGTTAATTAATCAAAGTGCATTATTACTATGTGCTTATTTTTTTGTTTATGACTGACTTGTTTATTATACTAACACAAAAGATTTTCCATGAAGCTATATCCCTCGTATATACTGTAAGCCCCCCCCCCCC